CCCAGGCGACTCCTGGCATCGCCGCTGACAGCCAAAGAATTGTAGTGCCAAGTAGTGACCACGTGTTTTCACTCACAGAAGGTGTCTTAAATACACCTGAAAATCCCTCAAAAGCGAATTGGCAGAGTTTCCCAGAAGAATTCTCCCATTTTTCGAATGCATTTTCCTATTGCCCGGTGGGAGGATTAGCAAATCCGGTGTTTTCTGAACAACTGGCAGATGGCTGTGGTGGATACCCCGTGGGCTATCTCTGGACCAACACAGTCACAGAAGGTTTGCTGGAGGACGGGCAGAGCTCTGCCGAGGCTGCGCTCAGTCAGCCACGGGACTGGGACGCCGCCGCGTTCCCGCTGGAGAAGAGCCCCGTGGAGCGGCCGGTGTCAGAGGATGGTGTGATCTGGGGCTGGCAGAGCCCACGTGGACAGTCAGTAAGTATGTTTCATCAGTGTTTGCTCCTGTGCTGCGATCTGCTGGTCTCCATGTTCTGATTGCTTTTGACTTAAATTAATGAAGATTTGTTCCAAACAGTGGGCAGTTGTTTGAATGTCTGTGTAAGGCTGTGAACCACGGCCGCGTCAACTGAGCAGTTTCTGAATCGGAGACTGTGACTCCCTGCTTGGTGCATGTAACTCCTGCTGGCGCCAGCGCACGCCCTGCCGATCCTCCCACACAGCGTCGTGCGGGCCGTTCGTGCTTGTGCGTGTTGCCAACCGGACCGTCTTCCTGGAGGGATCTTATCACGTGGGCGGCGTAGTGTGCTGCTGCCAGCGCTTGAGCCCACTGAGTGTGTAAGTCGCACTGCAGAATGTAAACTTGTTTAAAATCTGTGCTCTCAGGTTCTCCTGTGTGTGTCTAAGGCAGGTCAGATTTGCTGCTTTTAACTGGCTCCAAAATCTTGGTTGTTTTCTTTGTGGGAGTCACCAGAGAGCTCTGTCTCAGGTCCGTCCCTGAGATGGGGCTTGCCCTTCTGGGGGAAGAAGCTTCACAAATGATTCTGTGGGCACTGAGTTTGAGCCTTTCTAGAAATTCTGTAATAAATGCACACATTCTTCAACAGGCATTCTTCAGTTTTGCTCATCAAACAGATGCATACCAAAGCAGCGTGACTAAAAAGTCATCGTGGCAATAGCAAAATCTCATACGTTCAACCAGTGGATTGTTATTAGTGACTTTTGTGACGTCGGGCAGGAAAAACCGTTGATGTTATTAAGGAGGCAGACATGGCTCAAATGTTAGTACCCGAGAGTAAACAAGTAGAAATCCCACCCTGTGGTTGAAGGAGCTACCCATCAGCCTCTTTTCTTCCCATGTTCACATGGGGCTTTTACTGGAGAGATTTATACTCAGATTCATCAGCTTTGCTCCTAAACAGTGGTGGAGGCAAAACACTATAAAATTAGGCCTCTAAAATAATACGCGTACCATCTTTTACATAAGTGGTTACGATTAGCAGTTGGCTAATGTCACTGGTTAGAACGTCAGCATAGAGTGCAGATCTTTCTGTCGGTCTGCGCTTAGTGCTTTAAATTAGCAGGCGTTGCCACATCTAATGATGGTTCCTTGCTTTTCAGAACTCGGGTTTTCAAAGTGCTGTTACAGACATGTGTGTCTACTGAGTCTTGCATAGCAGCTGTTACTCCATCCTACAAAGACCCAGAAGTAGACGCTTGCCCGGCTCTGCAGTCAGCGAGCTGCTCCGAGTCACTCACTTCCTGGGGCGACTCTGCGGTGCTTCCTCGGGGTGTTTCTTTCCCCATTGTCTCACCTGTTCTGTAGTCTCCACCTGCCTGTCTCTTTTCTCCGGTATTGGTTACTCTAGTTCCTACTCAGTAACTTGTCAGGGGACCATTCTGTCTCATGTCCATAAAATACAAATTTATTAATTGATATGTTATTTCTCTAAATGGAGCATAGTGTTCTGGGTGTGAGCACCTAGGTGAGCTTGCTCCTGGTTTCAGTGAGCTTCGCTTAGCCGTACGTCATCAGTGGAGAAAGACGACTGATGTAGCCACGCACCTGACACCAGAGTTCTTGATCGTCGCTGGGTTCCACGCGGCTACAGGAGAATAACCATATTTTAGAGAAGCGGTGGTAGATTTAGATCTTTGTTTAATGTAAATTCTTTCTCATGCGAATTATGAAAAGTTAATGAACTCTTGGTGAATGTTGCGTTTCGCTGAACACAGTTTTCTAATCACCATCATTTTTGTGGACAAAACGCCTTGATTTTCTTACTTGTGGAATGGAGCCAGTCATGCCCACCTCGCAGGCTTGCTGCGATTTGGTGCAGGTACGGGGTAGCACAGGCCGGCCCACAGTGGGCTCCGCAGTGTTACAACAGCTGCCAGGGCATCAGGTCCTGTTACAGCAGGAGTCTCCGCTCTGTCGCCCCTTGTCACGTCTCCTCCCTCGAGCGTTCAGCACAAGCTGGTTAACTGCCTAAAATTGTGCGAAGTTTCCAATACTCGATTTGGACTTACTGCTACTTGAGAGGTAGTAGTAGCTTAAGGGTAGAGTGCCATTCATTCGTGGCATAAAATCTTGCACAACTTGTCAAATAGTGGAAAGTGTCAATGTCTACATTGTTGCTTCATTGAACATCCATTCACTCAGCAGATACATCCAGCACTTCCCCGCTGAGGTCAGGGCTGCGCTAGGCGTGGGCGATACCGTGTGAGCTGCGTGTGGGGAGCACAGACGGGCTCTAGCCTCGGAGACCCAGCTCCCAAAGTGCTGCCTGCGGCACCTGCACTTCCAGGACAGCGGGTGACCTGTAGTATAAACTATAAAACGCGTTTTGGCGATACACGACAGTCAGCCGGAGAAGGTGCTAAAAATAGAAGAGATTCATGTGGTAGGTGTTGGCAATTCAGGGAACGTGCAGCACACACACGAGATAAGGGGAGCTGGCTGAGTGGGTGGAGGGCTCCGTGTGCTGGGTTCTAACGGGAGAGGGCGATTTACAGAAATGCTAGAGTAGGAAAGAGAACAGAGGAATGGGTTTTTAAAAACAGCAGAGCAGGCTGGAGAAGCACAAATGCTGACAGTGCCGTGTGTGAGATCCGGTGTCTCCCGCACCCGCGCTTTCCCCTGCACGGTCGAGTCTGCCGTGTCCCGGTGCTCAGTGCCGTGTCCTGAGCATTCTGAGGTCCTCGTCGGAGAGGTGGCGGGTGAGAGACGAGAGCAGCTAGCGCTGTGCAGGAGCAGAGGCCAGGAAAGGGCTGGAGTTCAGCTGCCGTGTCAGAAGAGAAGCTGAACAGTCGGTGTTTCAGTGTAACATCCTGGAAGGAACCCTATTCTTTGGCCTATCACGAATACTTAGACAAATAGGAAGGATTTAGATAGGTCCTCGTGTGAGCATCTGGTTTTGTGGGCATGATGCTTGCTTCTCACCCAGTGACAGGAAGAGCAGGAAGTACGAGTCACCCCAGGCACGAGCAGTGTGCACGCTGTAGTTGTAACCACGGCAGCCGACCATTGTTTCAGAAGTCGTTTCAGTGTTTACTGCCAGCCGCGTCACTGAGCCAGCGTGGGTCTGCTCTGTCTCTGTGCCTGCTTTTTGATGGCTCGCGATGGCGCTTCCCGACCCTCTCCTGTGTCTGGGCCAGGGGACCCGGCGCTGTCTGTGCTGCTCCCCTCACAGCAGCTGCCCAGGGGCGCCTGGGACCAGGATCCTTGCCCTGCCTCTGGCAGCTCTGACTTCCCACACCGTGATGAGAAGGGGAAGTGGTTTGTCTAGGGTCATTGGAGGATTGTGGTGGTAAAACTGGAGTTAGAGTGACTTTCCCTTAGAACGTGGGGAGGTGTCCAAGGCTTGTGAGCAGAAGACAGGCTTGCGTCAGAAAAACTAGGGAGTGGGGAGGATCCACGTGGTAGGGGCCTGTTGTGAGTTTTATAAGATGTGCCAGGAAAGACGGCCAGCCCCCGGAGGAGATGAAGGCACGAGCCATGTGGCTTTCTGGGTGGGGTGTCTGGGCAGACAGGATGGGAAGAGCAGGCATGTTCAGAGACAGCAAGGAGGTCAGCGTGCCTGGGAGTGGACACGGCCAGAGAGCGGCCGGCATGGGGTGTGGGGGAGGTTGTTGTGGCCGCCGTAAGAACGTCATCCTCTACTCTGAGTGAGCCAGGCAGCGCGCAGGGTTCAGAGCAGAGGACTGCAGCATCTGACTTACCGAGCTCCGTAACAAGTACCTAGTGCGTGCCAGGCACCCTGCTGACTGCCTGGCGGAGACCAGGAAACTCATTTTGCAGATGAGGTTTTCAGAGGTTGAGTAACCAGCCCCGCATCACACGGCTGTCCGTGGCAGAGCTGGGCTCAGCCGTGTCCAGAACGCCGGGATCAGCGGCAGATTGTCCTGCAGCAGGACTGGGATTCTGTGTTTCACGAAAGCCCCAGAGATGACATTGAGGGTCTTACGGGAGTGGGAGTAAGTAGTTCTTTTGAAAGCGCGAGATGCTGTGTCTTCTTCCCCAGTGGATGCTTTAGCTTCCTCTGGTCTCGTGGTAGCCTTGCCAGACCGTTAGAAGACCTTTGTTCTTAGAGCAGCTTTCACTTTCTATACTTTTTGCTAGTGTGAGTTTTCAAAGATTTATAATTAAAAGCTTACATATCTACGTCGTATTCAAATTTGTAAATCTGTGAATTGTGATTTTATTAGGTAGGTAGTTCAGGAAATTGGCAGTTAAATTTGCCAGTTGCACAGGTGATAAGACACAGATCCTGGTGAGGCCCGAACGGTGTCCTCATTTCCCCGCTTCTGGAGAGCCGTGTGCTCAGACGGAACTTAGCAATCTAAAGGGGACTTAAACAGAGTTTTGACTGCATCAGGTATTGTTTTACTTTTCTACCTGATTTCCTCCTAAAGGTATGTGTAAATAGATAGGCTCAGCCTTTGTAGCCTAAACTCTCTTAACATACATGCGTTTCTAACTCTGCCTTAATCAATGAGATGTTTTTGGTTGGAGTCTGGTTACAAATGTACGTATCCAATCTCTCCTAGGTGCCAGCCAAGGTTTCAGAGCTAAACCCCAACGCAAAAGTGTGGGGGACCCACGTGTTACCTGTGGCAGCAAGTAGCGCGGCGGATGGCGTGAGCGCCACGTGGGAGGACCGCGGCCCGCAGGGTGAGTGGGGCCGGCCTGGCGGGGCCACGCTGCTCTCAGGTCCTTCCCTGGTTTCCGTCTGGGTCCGCGCTCGCGTCTGCGTCACGGGCTGTGACCCTGCGCGGCGCTTGAGAACCTGCAGGTCTTTACAGTCCAGTGAAAGAAGTCGAGTGACTACGACTGTTTATTTTGTTTAAGAAAAGTTCTTCTAACCCTGCCTTTTGGGGTAAAATTCCTAATTTTAGGGTTGGATGCCAGTTGTGATGGTGACAAAAGCCGAGAGAATGTGGCGGTGCCGGATGCGCAGGAGTCAGGGCAGACAGACGTGAGCACGCCGGCGCTGGGTCCCTCGGAGTGCGAGTCTGCGCCCGAAAGCAGCGAGACGGGTAAAGCTCTTCTGTGAATCGTGTTCATGCAGAACGTGGGGCTTGTCTGTCTGTTTTCTTTCCAGCTTGCCGAGTCTTCCCCAAAACGACGTGCCTTTCACTGCCTCCTCTGAATTCCACTTTAGACTCACCCCTAGGTGGGGGCAGAGATGAGAGGCCTGGTCAGGGCAGCATCCTGGACAAGGAGACCTGAGTCGTTCCCCAAACGGAGCCACGTTTGTTAGGAGAGTCGGAAGACTGAGGTGTGGCGTGTCAGGAGAAGTACCGAGATGGGATGTTGGTGTTGGGATTGGGAGAAGCCAGTTTGGGCGGAGGGCCCTGGACACGGAGCAGTGGCCATAGGAGGGGGCAGGAAGCGAGTGGGCGGGGAAAGGAGCTGTGGACCTGCTTGTGCGGCGTGCCAGATGTCACTGGAAATGTCACCGTAAAAGCAAACCTGTTGGGGAAATTCCTGTGACGTTTTTGTCTTTATCGTGTGCTGGTCTCAGTGGGTCTCACCGAGGCCCTGTCCCCTCGTTGGAAACGTGGAGAAGCATGTGGTCGTCATGGCGACCAGGGACGCCAGACCCCAGGGTGCAAGGCACAGCTGCGCACCACCCTTCATTGGTGTAAGGCCGTCAGAACACAGCAGAGTCAGAAATTGTCACCTAAGTGGGGAAATGTGCTGGTGCTCTACAACACAATTCGGGTATTCTTAAACTTCGTGGAGCTTACTGCTTTAAATAATAATTATTTGGTAAAATGACTTAAACAAGTATTTATCGAGGAAAAAAATGAAACCACGTTTCTTTCTTATAAATTCGCCATCCTGAATTTGCTTAAAGTGTTTTTCGCCTCTACGTATGCAGTTTTCTACATTGAAATGAGGAAGTACGAGTGTGCAGCAATCTAATTTGGTTAGTTTCTCCTTGTCAACCCAACAGTCACTGGCTAATGACTTGGAAATGACACAACCCGGGATCAGTTGCAGCCACACTAGGGTCACTGGCACAGGAAGGCAGTGCTAGCCATTCAAAACAGATTTCTACAGAGAAGAAGATAGAAAGGCGTCATATATCCTGTCAGGGGGTGAGAGTCCTAATGGCAGAAAGCGAAAGGGATTCAAAATAAACAATTCAGGCCGGGGGTGGGGGGGGTGGCGCCTGTAGTCCCAGCTACTCGGGAGGCTGAGGCAGGAGGACCTCTTGAGCCCAGGAGTTGGAGGCTGCAGCACGCCAGCCCCAGCCACAGAGACCTGTCTCTAAACAATAAATAAATAAACAAACAATTTAAATTTCAGACTAAATCTCAGTGACCCACATCTCAGGCTGGGTGCGCAGAAGTTTTACAGAGGATGGAAGGTAGACAGGAGGCTGTTAACATTATCAGCAGTGAAATAACAACATGTGAAATCTGTCTGGAAAGTTCAATTTCAAAAGAAGTTGGTTCTTTGTTAAACCTATTTTCAGAAGAAAAAGAACACCTTCTACTCTGTCCTGAGGGCCTCAGCACTCTCTTCTCCCCCTTTACTCTGCTGATAGTGTTTATGATGCACAAAGGTTTTCGATTTTCAGAAAGTCCAGTTTTTCTGTTTTCTTATGTTGCTGTGCCTTTGGTGCCATATCCAGGACAACATCGTTGGATCCAGTATCATGAGGCTTTTGTCCTATGTTGTCGTCTAAGGGTTTTATATTTTTTTGTCTTACAGTTAGATCTTTGATCCATTTTGAGTTCATTTTTGTATATGGTGTAAGGTAGGGGTCCACCTTGATTCTTTTGCCAGTGAATATCCAGTTTGCCCAGCACCACTTGTTGGAAAGACTGTCCTTTCCCAGTTAGAATGGTTTTGGCTCTCTGGTCAAAAAATAATTTGGCCATAAACGCGAGGATTTATTTTTGGGCTCTTTATTCTGCTCTCTTGGTCTGCCTGCCTGTCTTTGCTAGGACCATACTGTTTTGATTACTGTAGTTTTGTAGTAAGTTTTGAAATCAGGAAGTGCGAGTCTTCCAGCTCTGTCCTGTTTTGAGCATGTTTTGGCTCTTTAGGTCCTTGAGATCCGTGTGAATTTTAGGGTAGGGTTCTCTGTTTCTGCAAAATAACTCGTTGGAAGTTTGATGGAGATTGCACCGGAGCTGTGGATCGCGTTGAGTAATAGCCACACCTCAACACTAGTAAGTCTTCCGGCCCACGATCCTGGGATGTGTTTCCATGTATTTACGTGTCTCCGATTTCTTCCAGCAGTGTTTTGTAGATTGTGTTCTACACCTTCATTCAAGTCCGCCACCTCCTCGGTTAAGCTAATTCCTAAGTGTTTTATTCTTTTCCACTCACCCATTTACTTTTAATCTATAGTGTCTCTGTATTGCAAGTGGGTTTCTCGTAGGCAACATACAGAGTTGGGTGTTGTTTTTAGATTTACTCTGACTATCTGCCTTTAGTTGGTATGTTTAGGCCATCAAAACTCAAAATGATTATTGATATAATTGGATTAATATCCCACCGTATTTGTTACTGTTTTCTGTTTGTTGCCCGTGTTCTTTTTTTCCTATTTTTCTCTTGTACTTTTTCTGCTTTTGATTTATTAGCATTTTGTATAATTCCATTTTCTTTCCTTTCTTCAACTATTTTCTTATACTTCTTTTTTTACTTTTTCAGTGGTTAACCTAGACTTTGCAATATACATTTTAACTGACCCAAGTTCACTTTCAGAATAACGCTGTATCCCTTCGTGGGTAGTGTGAGTACGTATAATAACAAAATAATCCTGATTTCTCCCTCCCATTCCTGCACCATTCATTTCATGCATATGTATATACGAAAGGTCTACCGGCAACACATGCTCTCAATTTTTGTTTGTCTGAGAACATCATTTCTCCTTCACTTTTTAACAATAATTTCTCCGGATAAAGAATTGTAGGTTGGTGGGTTTTTTCTTTCAGGGTAAAGAATTCTAGGTGTTTTTTTCCTCAACACTTTAAATGTTTCATTCTACTTTCTTGCTTGCATGATTTACGGGAAGAGAAATGTAACTCTTTGTTTCTCTCTAGGTAAAGTGTTTTTTCCCCTGGCTCTGTGTGGATTCTTTTCTCTCTCGTGTTCTGTAGCTTGAAAACGACGTGCCCAGGTGTAGTTCTGGTTTTCTGGCATTTATTCTGCTGGATGTTCTCTGAGTTTCCTGGATCTGTGGTTTGGTGTCTGACATCACTTTGGGGGAAATTCCAGTCACCATTTGTTTCAAATATTTCTTACATTCCTTTCTCGATTCCTTCTCCTTCCGGTATTTCCATGACACTAACTTAACACTTTTTGTAGTTTTCTACTGCCCTTGAATGCTTAGTCCTTTTCTCAGTCTTTGCTCTCTTTGCTTTTCGGTTTTGGAGGTTCCCGTTGTTGTCCCTCAAGCTCAGAGATTCCCTCCTCGGCTGTGCCAGCCTCCTGCCGGGCATCAGCGCCAGTCCTCCTTGCTGCCACTGTTTTGATCTCTAGCAGCTCCTTTGTTTCCTTGTCAGGATCTCCATCTCTGCTTGCACTGCCCATCTGTTCCTGCGAGCTGCCCACTCTGCCCGTTAGAGCCCTCAGCGTACCGTTGTGCTTGCTTTAAACCCCGTCTGATGACCCAACTCCCCTGCCGCGTCTGGTTCTGACGCTTGCTCTGCCTCTTCAGACTGCGCTTTGCCTTCGGCTCGCCTTGTCGTTTTCCTTGACAGCCAGGCGCTTGCTGCAGCAGAGAGGCCTGTAGTGGGAGGCGGGTGCTCGGTCCTGCGATTCGCTCTCGTCACAGGACCGTGAACCTCACGGCCGCTTCTCAGGTCTTCTCCAGAGGGGGCTGGAATTGTGTTTCCCTTCCTCCAGCAGGGGGTTCTGAGAAAACAGTCTCAGGGTAGCTCTGGCTTTGTTAAGCACGGTGCTCTGGTGTGTTTCAAAGTAGTTCCTTTTGCTCCCCCTCCCACTGCAGACCCGGTGGAGATGCAGAAAGTGAAACTGACAAATGTGTGGGCACCGCACACCATGGCTCGGCACTCAGACTTGTCTGCTTGTCAGAACGCTGCGGTTCTGTGTTCTCGGCCCACCGCGGGTCCCCGCCGAGTTTCCGGCTCCTGCCTGGTTTTCCACGCTGGGGCGGTTGTTTGCTCTGTGAGCTCACTTCTCTTGGGTGTGGTTTGTGGAACCTGAAAACAACCACAATGGTAACGTCACAGATCACTTCTTGGGGATCAGGAAGAGTTGTGGATTGTTCAGTTTCCTACCTTGTTGACTTGTTGGGACAGACCTCACGTGCTGCGCTGCAGTCCAGGCATCTTCTCGTGCGCACACGCCCCCTTCGGTGTTGTCTGTGTGCCCGTTTTCTTCCTGGATTTTTCTGTTATCGTGTTTGACAGTTCTTTATGTGTTTTTAATACAAGTCCTTATCGATGTGTGATTTACAGATACATTCTCCCCATTTATACGTTGTCTTTTTGGTGTCGTAACAGTGTCTTGGAAAAGCAGAAATTGAAGTTTTTTATATAGTCCAATTTATCAATTTTGTTCTTTTATGAATCTTCCTTTTGGTGTTGTACCTAAGAAATCTAAGGTCACAAAGGTTTTCTCCTGTTTCGTTGTTTTAGGTTTTAGATTTTTAGGTCTGTTTTAATTTAGTTTTCGTGTGTGGTGTGAGGTGTGGATCAAAGCTCTTCTCAATGCGTGTGGTCGTCAGGCGTCGTCCGTGCAGGTCTGGGCTTGTTTCTGGACTGTCTCTTCTGTTCCTCCTATTCGTTGGTCCGTTTTAGCCCCAGTATCGCACTGCTTTGATGGCAGGAATAACCTCTTTTTTTTATTGCCCTTTGCGGGTACGGCATGTTTTACAAAGTGAAGGTTGTGGCCACCCTGTGTCAGGCAAGCCTGTCCGCACCAGTTTTCCAAAAGCACCTGCCCACTTCCTGTCTCTGTGTCACCGTTTGGTAATTTTCACAACATTTCAAAATTTTTCAATATTTTTATATCTCTTACGGTGATCTGCGATCAGTGATCTTTGATGTCA